CCAATTCCCTATTATAGAAAATAAGATAAAAGCATGGGAGTTCCTCGAGGGGTAGCGATAATTCCGGTCGTGCAGCATCGATCGGTTGGACAATGACGGTAGATAACCTACGCCCCCGCGATTGCGAAGGGGTGGGCCCGAATCTCGGTCCCCTCACTGTCTCTGCAATAATGATCACCTGAAAGTGCATTCCCTCATCTACGCGCAGCCGACACGAAGACATAAATCCGCCTTCGAGGGGACCGAGCCACGTAATCTCGTTGGAAAAATAATCGAAAGCCGTTCGTCAAATCGCACGAGGCAGATGTGACATTATGTTTTCTAGACATAATATTGAATAGAAAATATTTCATGACAAAATTCAGAATCGTACTTCAGCGATGAAAAATTGAATTCTCCTCGATGACAGTTTAATCGGACGCTGTCACGTCTTTGTAACTTTTAAGAATTCCTCCTTTAAGTAATTCCAATCCGTAAATTAAATTTTGAATAAAAACTGAGTACAATTTTAAAATTACAAATTAAAAATTACAATTGAAGTAATATTCGTTTGAAATCGTGAAAAGTAAAATCTTGTTATTTATATCCTTGGAATCCCGCTGAGAAAGAGCTGGCTCTCCAATTCTAGAACGCGTCACGTATGTGATGAAATACACATCCTCTTGCGAAGATGAAGGATGAGGTAAAAAGAATAAAAATAATGGGATTAATTCGTTCACCAAGCGACCGTGATGACACCCGTGCCACCACATGTGGATTAGATCTTTTTCTTGTCTGCACCACGTGTGGATTAGATTGTGTTCTTTTTATTTCGATGCCAGGCAGTGACGCTGTCTATCCCATTTACCATGCTAACGAGGGATCTAACTATGGTGGAGAATACGAGAAATACGAATTTTTTACTTCCCAAACACAAGACAAAAGTGCAATGTGAATAAATAGAAGAAAGAAGAAAATTTCTATTTATACTTTGAGATTAACTTTAGTCTTTGTTGGAAAAATCATACTCGTATTTTTAAAATACGTCTTCATACAAGATTTACTTTAATTTTATACAGCAAGAATTTCTCGTAAGTTGTAAAAAAAAAAAACTAATATACTTTTACTTTTCAAGATTTGCAAAATTAGAGTTACTTGAAAATTAAAGAGTCTATATTAATCTGATAATTGAAAAAATCTGAGATAATAGAGAGTCTGATAATTTTAAAACTCTCGATTGAAAAACCAGTAAATTTTTACGCGTTTATAATGTAAAGTAAATAATAAAATTGGAAATGAGAAATGTGCAATAAGAAAATAAAATCAATAAAGGACACAAAATAGAAAATAAACATTTTTTACAGTCAACTCACCATTATTCCCAGGCACGTCGCAAAGTGCGACCTATCACCCATAACTCTTCGCCACCCAAAACACACAATACGTTCTTTCTTTTCTAAAATTCGACCGTGGCGGCACTGATCGTCCGTAACGACTCGTTGTCCTCGAAAGGCAATGGCGATTCGACTGTGGGATCATATATATTGAGCACGAAAAGTTACGAACAATGATGATCGGGCACCTGAACCGCACGCGCCTGATGGTGCATCTTTCTTCCCGCTGTCGCTACGGATTATGATAATGCTCGTTTACTCGCTGGCAACACGGTAGGGTCGACAAACAGATTCGGCGACCAGAGGGGAGTCAACGGGTGGCGAATTTCCCGACGCGAGAGACGGCCAAAAAACAGGGGTGGTGGCACCCGGATGAGTCATACTTCATCCCCGACGTGGCCACGGCCGGTGGGGTGAAATGGTGACTAGTCGCCTATCATCCCCCCCGTTTTCTGCCTGCGGACGAGCTCCGAGCAACAGACACCCTCGCTCTAGTCTCCTCTCTCTCTCTCTTTCTCTTTCCCTCTTTTCGACTCACCATCGATTCTATCTTGATATCGTTTTATCTCCACCTCTTTCTATTTTTGTCTACCTTTCCGATTGAAATTATATTTCAATCTCCGGGCCCCATTGTTTCGGTACGCACTGCTATTTGGCGACCAGAACAACTTCGCGTTCTGTGCAACGAGATACACAAACTTTCATTAGTTAATGTAAACTTCCAAAGGGTAAACTTCACGAATTTTGTTGAGTTCGATGTTGAGATAAACTTAGATTAACGCAGGAGGGGACTCAGATGTACGAGCTTTTGATACTTTGAGTATGCTTAAGGAAACTTCCAGATTGGTTTTCTTGTCTCCAAAAATTTGATGGATTGAATCATTAATTTAATATTGGCTTTTCAAAAAACTATCATTATTAACAAGAAGTTAATTATTGCGTCATGACGCAATGCTAGCATCCGTTGTAATTTAATACATAATTGCATTAGTGAGTATTTCTTGACACGATGTCACCGAATTTTACGTGATGCACGCGCTTGATAAGTCCAATCTTCGTAATAAACTTTTGAGGAAGCAATTTGCGATGTGTATCGCGCACGAAGCGTTAAAACGCTCGTGTTATACGGCGTATTATTCCCCGCTTTTGACAGCAAATATTCGTAACTATTTAGTCTACCGAGCTTATCTGCCGCTGCCTACGCTACCGCCTGTCCCCTGCGCCTTCGGCCGCGAGTCACTTCCGGCCGATACGATCGTCCAATAAGATAACAGGAAGCGGATTGACGAGATACCGACGAACACGTAGCGGAAGGCAAGGTGGAAAACCTCGTCGAGTATTCCGCTCAGGAGACATGTACATTTAATCCCGCCGAGGCGAGGGATCGATGTTTCGGTTTTGACTAACAAATTTCGAGCGCTACAGCCGATCCTCCTTTTCCTCCTCCTCCACCACCTCTTTCTCCTTCGAGGGCGCAGCTGGCGCTGAATCATCGTAGCCCCTCGAAAGCACCTCGGCGTTGCCAAGGTTTCCGAAGTGGCTTCGAGTAACTTATCACCTGCTCTTATCAAGACCGGGAAGGTAGAGAGAAGGAAAGGCGGTCACCGGCGATCATCGGAAAATGCGGAATTCGCGCGAGTTCCGCAAATGCCATCCAAACGCGATCCCGATAATCGCTGGACGAATCGACCGGCAACTTCTCCTTCTTCCCTTAATTTCCGGCCGAGTCGGCATGTCGCCAGGATCCGTCAGAAATTGCCCTAGACCGAGTGCCATTATCGCGTCCCCTTTCAGTCGCGGATTCTTTAAAGAGGACGAAGTTCGGTTTTCTTTGAGAGAAAGTTTAAAGAGAAGTCTGTCCGTTGTGACTTTTAATTTCTTGCAGTCAAATATATGAGTAAGTTAAAATTGAAAATTAAAAAATTCTCCCAGTCTGAAATCGTCAATATTAATCAATTTGTACTTGTTCCAGTTAAGCGATAAAAGCTAAAAATTTATCAAAATGTTTGGCGATGTCCTATATAAATAGATTAAATGTACTAATTACAAGCAGTTTGATAAAGATGATACGTGGCCCTAGCGACCCTCGTGTCTCGATTTTCTCGCATAATTATCTGATTTATCGCTGCGGGCGGCTTTTTGTCCCCGTTAAATGTTTGCGCGTAGCGCACGCACGTTGGTTCGCATGCAATTTCGCCCCGAGCGAGCGGAATGACTCCGCCAGCGGTTAGTAATTCAAGCGGTCACTTTGGAGGCAACAATGGACGTAACAGTAGATTCGCCGTAATTTTACACTCGAGCCCATTTTCTCGTAGCCGGTTAAGTCCGATTCACGCAACGTTATATGTTCGTTAACGACACGTTACGCGAAGTATCCATATGTGAAGCAGCAGCTACATCTGTTTATATGGCATATAGAAAAGTATCAACGTAATGTAAGTCAAAATAATTATAATTGCTAAAAAGAATGCTCAATTACTTTCGTTACATAATTTAGAATTGTGGACTTTAATATTTCCAAACGATTCTAATTCACGAATTTGTTTTCAAATAAGACAACATTTTTTGTGTCAGTATAATATATAAATGATATAATAATAAATAAATAAATAAATATACGTATGTACAATATTAAAATTGTATTACAATGTTATAATAATATAAAATAATATCAAGATAACGTTGAAAAGTTATTGCGTAATATAAGCTTTAGACCTCATGCAGGCTCGAAACGAATGACAGGGGTTGGGGAAAGGGATAGCGGCGACACGTAACTGAATGCCCTAACGGTCAGCATCCGCCCCGGCAATTACCTGGAGAAAATTCGATGCTCTCTCGGAAACGCGATGCAATTCGAGGGCGCAGCCCTCGTGACATGCAGATGCTGCGATAGAATTCGCGGAGAGAGCCCGGCAATCTCGCGGGGAGAATTCGCAAAAAACCGCGAGCGCAATGATTGTTCGCGTAATCGAAAGGACGCACGATATGATTGCGAAATTACCACGGACTCACGTACTATCGATATTCGCGAACGTCGGACGCGATATACGCATTAAACCAACCGCCGCCAACGATTATTGTGACCACGGCGAGCGGCCGATAACGGCGTTGTTATATTAACATTCATGGACGCGTCGGGAGATACGGCGAAGATCACGATGCTCGTTCGTGTACAACCGTTATTAAAGGAGAGTGCATCTCGAATGAGGGAGACCTCGTACTCTCCAAACCGGGATATGCAAATTTCTACCTTGACCGATGCAACGCCAAGCGGGGAGAAGTGACGATATTCGGCGATGTATCTTTAACCAATTTGCATTGTGCAATTGCTATAAATACTAATTTTACCCCGCCCTGATTGCTGTTTCGATCATGCGGTACATTTATATTTCAATAAGTGCGCATATATAATATACGATATAATTAATACATACATCAAGTCTCATTATATAAACAGCCCGATAAATATGTATGTATATTGACGCCGTTACCTCTATGCATACAAAGTGCCCGTGTTGCACGATGATTTATGTTAAAATTAAAACAGCGATACTTTTCAACAAGATGACTAAATCAATCCTTCAAACGATCGCAAATCGAATAAACGCAACGTGAAATCTCACGTACCATTCCCTCGTCTATCGACGCGTCTTCCTCGAAGTAACACTCGTCGTCGTCTTCCGGCGTCAAAGTGTTAGGAGCTTCTTGCGGCTCCTCCTTGACGTCCTGCCTCCTCATCCAATCCATGACGAGATATCGTCGCTTTCTTGGAATCCCAGGAATCGGAGACGTCGAGTCTTTTTAGCTTACAATCTGTCCTTAGAATCACGTGTCTCGAGCCATCGCTCTCGACGCGTCCCGTCACTTTCGATACGTCGCGGAAGAAAGGGAACGAGAAACGGAATATGGCACGGTTTCGGCACGGAAAGCACGAATTGGTCTCTTATCGTCCATCAGCCACGCTCCGATTACGCGGAAGTTACGCCAGCGAGCGCGGTTGACATTTGCGAAATGTCAGGTCTCCTCCTATGCCGGCCGGCTGAATATCGCGCTAACGAGAAGGACACGCTCCTCGAGATTGGACGCGATCGATAGTGCACTTCTCTTGGCCTCGCGGTTCGCACGTGCTCCACGCAGTGCGGCTTGCCGGGGAAACAGCAGAAAAACAGCAGACACGCGCCGATCGCCGATACTCCGGTTTGCCGTGTTTGCACTCTCGTCTCTCGTCTCTACGCTATCTCAAACTCGTCTTACAATTAGCTATCTCAGGGACCACGAGCTCGTCGGTGTCGATTCGAAGACCGCGTGAACCCGGATTGGAAAGGAATCTTGATCGATCTCCGAGAGCCCTTCCGCCTGCGAATTCAACGTCAGCGAGTTCGTCGACACTCGTCAATGTCAGTTCGTGAACTTCGGTAACTCGACACTCCCGCGGAGCTAAACGTTGCAGGAAAGACGGGGTCGAAATCGATTTACGACTCATCTAATTACGAATTTACGTCGGCAAAAGTGTCGTACGTTTCTAATTGTAATTCACTACGATGAATTCGCTGTTCCCTTCAGCGATCTTCGAAAATCCAGCTGGAGCTTAATATCAGAAGTGATGGTAGATCCAATCTCGTCCAATGGAGGGATAAGCGAAGAAGCGAAGGAAACGGCGTCGTTAAAACTGCATGGCGACGACGTTGTTGCGCGTCACGCAGTATAGTTATATATTAAATATACATATATATATACGTAGATACACACATACACACACGAGAGAATCGCGAGATTATGCGAGTGACGCGCGCGCAGTCTCGCATGTGCACACGAGCGAGCCACGGCCGCGGTGCAGCTGCAACTGTGTGTGCAGGCTGGGAATGCTGGAGGTGGTATGGAGGCGGCTCAGTGGGCGCACTCGCTGCCTGGTCTCTCTGTTCTCTTTCCCTGTCTCTCTTATTCCATTTCGCTCCCTTTCTCTCTCTCTGTCTCTCTTTCTCTCTCTCCCTTTCTCGCTCTCCCTCTCTCTATTCCGTTCACTCTTCTCCCCATCCCTCGTCTGTTCCACCGAATAGTCCCCCTTTCTTCTTTCTCCCTCTAACTCACCTCATCTGTCTGCTCCCTGCCCTGGCTTCTCTCTATTCACGTCTCTGTCTCTCTCTCTCTCTCTCTCGTTCTGCCTTCAAAACCCCCGCTGGGTCTCTCCTTCTCTTCCCTATGGGACCCTAACTCCGTCTCTATCGCTGTCACTCCAGAAAACCAGGCACTCGTTTTCTCCCCTTTGCCCTCTTCCCCCGCCTTCTTCTCGAAACGCCACGATTGTATTTTTAATCTTGGAAGATTAAGTTTCCCCCACCTTAAAATGACACCATCTCGTTACTTCTTGATTCCTCTTGGCGATCGTCCCACTTCTGCTTTTCTTTCTTTTTTGAAATCAGCGTCTTTCTCATGTATTTTGTAAAACTTCATTTTCCACTGATTTTTTTATTCATCTCCTTTACACCTCCATCCGACTCGCGTTCTCAGATTCAATCGTCTCCCAGTCATCGTTACAATCAGAATTACTCATTCTCATCTCCCTCTCTCTCTCTCTTTCTTTATTCGCCACCTTCTCTCTCACGTCTGCGTCACGACTTTCTCTTTCCTTCTTCTTAAACACTCGCATTATCTCATTCCTTCTCGTTCCAACTTGCATTCCAACATTCCTCTTTCCTAGATCTATCTTCTCGCTCTACGCCTCTTTGTTCTTTCTCTCTCTTTGTTCGAAGCTAGTCGGAAAGCAATGGACAGCAGATAAAGCTAAACAGAAAAGAGAGGAGAACGTAAAAGAAGAGTAAGGAAAAGAGAACGTCCCAATGAGGGGGTGATGGTCGAAGGTTCGTCGCGATTCTTCGTCTCTCTTTACGCAGCCAGCATCCCTTGTAGAAACCTCTCTCTCTCTCTCTCTCTCTCTCTCTCTCTCTTTTGGTGCCTCATCCACCTCCACCATGACGCGCTTCCCCTCTCTGCGAGTTCCATGACCCCTTCTCTTCCGCACGTCGCTGCCATGGGTTCAGGGACGATCCCTCTTCAGTGGAGACCCATGCGCTATCCTGGGAGATCCCACAAGCGGCGGCTTTGTTTTTACAGATTCACCCAGATTCGCATCGCTTGGGATCTAGTTAGCTCGTTGATTTTAATCTTAAATATATAAACGGAGGGTTCTGATCGAGTAAACAACCGAGTAGTTTTTTTGAAAAAACATGTCAAGGATACTACACTTCAAATATTGTTATCTCACAAAATAATTTTAATAAAGTGATAGAGACTTCAATTTCATCACTTGAGATTATCTCTTCTAACACTGTATAATATCTTATACACCGTTATTTTCAGATAGACAAATTTCATGAAGACAAATTCTAATTAAAGAGTCAATAAAAAGTTTTGTTAACTTCGGATGATTAAACATGCGTGCACAGCTACAAGAAATTTTTTATTCGTTTAAAATTCAGGTAGCGTTCTAAAATGGTATTAGATAATCGGCCTCGGAGACACACCGGTAATTAATTACGCCGGAGTATGCAGCGTAGTATGCGTAGCTCTATCATCACGGTAGGTCGAGAAATTCTCTCTCGCACGGGAGACTATACAGCGTGTAGATACCATCTCGATGTCGCTCTTGTACACACGATACGTCGACATCGGAGATGCACGCGAATGTGCCTATCGTAAAATCGATAATCGACGTCGCTTCAGAGAAACATTGCGTAAGCGACGTTTCGGCGGTCACGCGTCGTTGCACCGTAATGAAGTGCGGTACATCCCTGAACTTGCTGAGAGAAAGGGAGCAGGGATGAACGTTGACTTCTGCCTGTTCCGTTTATCTTTGAAGAATCCCGATAGGACCATAAACGGGCGAGAGAAGTGTCTCATCAGTTCTCACGCTGTACAGTTTTTTAAAAATTGATAAATTTTTTCAGGCAAGATTACCACAGTCTTTTGAGGGATCAAGTCTCGTTAGTTTCCATAGAGATCCACTCCTGAAGGGGAGAGGACCAGCAAGCACGATGAGAACGTAAAGCGCTAACCTAGGGTACAAGGCATGTGAGAGAAAGACGGTAAGAGAGAAAGGAGGAGAGAACGGACGAGTGTCCCTGAGAAGGATAAACGTGTCGCATGAAACGAAGAGAGATGGTTTACAGTAACGTATCAAGCAATTTGTGAAAAATGCACTTTTAGGAAATAATTAGATGTAATGTTCCATTAACCGTCTGTGATATTCACTGATCTCTACATTTCTTATTTTCGAACTACTATTAGACACAGAAAATATTCGCATATTTTTCTTCCTCAATTTAATGACTAATATGATAATATGTATACAATTTGACCGACATATGTAAAATTAGTTTATAAATTTCAACCGTGCTCCAAATATTCACACAAAATTCCACATAATTGCTCGAAAGCATTTCTCGTATTGTTACAGATGAAAAGAGACAGAATAAACTCATCATTCACAACTTAACAGAGTCTTTTCCTAATCGTGCAATCATGTAATGACGTGACGCTATGTGTAAAACCCGAAATTTTTCTCCCTCAAAATCGATCATTAGTTCTTGAGTTCCATCGCGGTGACTGTTACGTCACTGAATCCGATGCAAGACAGAAAGAGAAGAAACGACAAAAGGGATATCGACATGGAAAGAGAAAGAGAGAGAAAAACAAACAGAGGAGGGAGAGAGAGAGAGAGAGAGAGAGAGAGAGAGAGAGAGAAAGGAAAAGAGAAAAGAGTGAGAGAAAGGAAGGAGAAAAGGAGAGATAGGGTGAGACGAGAAGGGTGAGAGACGTGATGCTGGAACGTGTGTTAGTCACGGGTTGCCCATAGCAACCCACGCGGCAAATGCACGCGTTATAGGCGCCTCATACAGGCCACAATATACAGGGTGTCTCAGAAGTTAGTTTCTCTGAATAGCAGATAGCGAAAAAGCTATTTTAAAAAATGCGTCGATAACGCCGATATATATTTCTTTAATTATACGTGATTAAAAATAAATTTTTTTTCAATCGGAAAAAGAATCAAGATTTATCGAGAGATCGAAGAAAGGCCCACAATTTCTGTCGCACCCTGTATACGTTGCGTATTACGCATACTACGCGCGTACGTCGCAAGCGCGCGTGCGAGACGCACTCGTATGTTACGCACGCATGTGTTGCCGAAGTTAATTGATTTCGCCTCCGTCAGCCGGACACGACGTTACCACTCGACCTGGCTACGCAACGAAACCGCGTTATCTACCAGATGCCCACGAAACATATCTGTTCACTAGCTAAGGCTGCAGAGGGTATGAGATCTTACGCCCATTCGATAATCCGTTCTTTAAATCCGACAGGACAAGACACTTTTCGAAAGGAGCAACTAACCCACGTTATATCTTCCAATCTTAACGGTCAAAATTTTTACCTAGTTGTGTTTTCCTCTGAAAATATTCAAAGAATGTTAAGTCCTCCTTCCGGCGAACGGTGTGTGAAACATTTCGATTGCGATTTCACTCGATATTGTTAGATATGTACGAACGTCTGCGATATGGTGAAAATTTTACTGGTATAAACCCTTCGACACCCGCATGACCAGTACACTTAATGATTATGCATTTAGATATGAAAGAAACAGCATATGATATATTTCGAATCTTCTTACCGTCTTCACTATGTTTCTTCCCAACGATCGGGTATCCCGCAGAAACGTGCGATTGACTTTCAACCGATTTTTCTACGGCAAATCGGTCGACTAATGACTAACATTATAAGTGAACGCAGCGTGAAGTCCGAGGTGACTGAAGTATAGTGAACGTATCAATGCACGCATTATGTTAAGCAGGCTCAGGTAATGCAGCGTTTTTTTGCCTTATCCCTTTTGCAAGCGAATCCCTTGCGTAATACAACTCGCTCGGTGAGCCTATATCGTTGGACAAAGGTTGATATGGTCGCAAGAAGTAATAAAATGACTGGTTAATTTCCATACCGCTGCATCTCGGTACCTTCTGTATTACGCGTGTTATCGCGATATCTCGGAAATATCTTAATTTTTTAAAAAGAGAAATATATTATTTTTTTTGTCGAACTGGCCGAGAATCATATTTCATTCCGCCAATAAAAATACACCGATACCTACGCGATATCAATCGTGCAACGAAAGTGTACAAAATATTTCAAGATACAAAAGTTCAGATTATAAAATTCTATTTGAATAAGCCCACTTTGATCTAATAAATTGAGCAATTTTATGTAATCCTAAACAATTGTTCCTAAATTCAGACAATTTTAAACTCATTAGCAATTAACATATCTTTCCAGTCGCTCGACAATTAAAACTTATTGATGACTCGTAAAATTTCATTCGACTTTTAACATCTAAAATGAGCAACGATTTTGGTATACTCTTTAGAATAAGAAACGCGAAGGCGGTAGCCGGAAGTTGAAAGACAATCCCGTTGCTTGGGGAACGGGAAAGTACGTATAACGAATCCGACAAAAATTTCCGAAGCCACGCATAACTTAAGTATACAATGGCTGTATTTGGCTCAGCGTCTTCACGCTGACATTTCGGAGGAAGTTTATGTCGCGTATAAAACTCCTTCAGATACTTCTCACTCGTATGAGTAAGATAGAGCTAGAGAGAAAGAGAGCTACAATATCTAGCTGTTATTAACGTGGCGCGCATTGCAGCGAGTTGTCGATCGATCAAGCTCGAACCAAGGAAATGCATTAGGCGTTTCGAAAACCCGCGAACTCGTCGGAGAGAGGGAAAAG